AGGAGTTACCCCCGCACATCGCAGCCCATGCAAATGATCTGATCGTCTGAAGCCGCTGCCCCACGCCCTGGTCCCGGGGAGCGGGGGCGAGAAACAGGGAAACGAGCCTCCTTCCCTTCCCTGCCCCCCCCCCCCCCCGTTAAGCCTCTGTTCCAAGGTTCAAAGGCCCCTCCTCCGTGCCCCTCCATCTCTCAGCTCCTTTCATCAGAAATCTCTCTCCCACACCTTCTTCCTTTGACCATCCTTATGTTCCGCAACTCTTGCACTTTCCGGGCTGGTGGGGCCCCAATGTGGGTCTTGGGAGCAAATTCACTTATGGCCCGTCCCTGGAGGCGGGCGTTCGGTCGGGGCTGACAGGCACCCCACTGCGGCTTTTCCTGGGCAGGCCTAGAGCCACAATTGCCCCGGGGGACCCCCCACCCCTGCTCCCTGAGAAACCCTCATAGTATGCAGGGTCCGCGTGTATGTATCCATGTGGGATCTAGCCACAGGACACCCCTCGGCTTCCAGGCAGCCCCCGGGGTTTCCGACCACCACCATCGCCCCATCAGCGCTGCATCGTGGGAGTGGCCAATCAGATGAGGCCCTGGAAGACGTGGCTGCTTCCGACCTCTGCTCCCTGCGAAAGAAGACGAGGCCCGTGTCCTCTCAGGCCAGCTTGGGCCTGGGCCGGGCGGCAGGCTCAGGGACCGAGGCTGAATGTCCGTGGTTGGGCCGGCAGCTGCCGTCCTGAGTCACAGCAGGACCCCCGGCTCTGAGAGCAGCCTGGGCGCGCCCTCACCCTCTGCTCTCTGCGAAAGCGTCCCCTTTACCCCGGATTCCGGGTCGCCCTCCTCACTTGGGGGTCTGCTCATTGGCGAGGCTGGGGTAAGAGTGAGGCTAGTGAGGGTCAGGGTGCTCAGGAAGGGGTGTCACTGGTCACTCTCAGGCATCACTGCGAGAGTCCAGTGTGCCCTGTGATGCTGGGGACAGCCCCGCAGTGGTGGGGGCGGGGCGGGGGGAGTGGGTCACACGGTGCCAGGAGTCGAGCCCAGGTTGGCTGCGTCTTCACTGCCGCACTCTCCCCTGGCCCTCATCGAGGGCTTTTACATGTGGCCCAAGGGTCGAGGCTCTGCTGAGGGACCAGGGAAGAAGTGGAAGCCGAGATCCATCCCAAGAATGACTCTGGAAGATGAGACTGTGAATGAGGCAAAATGGTCCGGGCCCCACAGCGGACGTCTCCCTGCACAACAAACCTGGTTGTTATGGCAATGGGAGGCAGTCACCTGGAAGAGGAAGGTGACTTGTTGCTGTGGGAGACGGGGCTGTCTGTGCCTTTGGGGAGTCCTGTTCCATGCCGCCCGAGCCCAGGTGCTGGTTGCACCCACGGGGCCGAGCACATGTGGTGCCTGAGCACAGGTGTCGCCCGCATCTCCCCTCCTGAGCTGTACACTTTCATGCTTTCCTGTCTGCCACTGGGATGTGTGTCTGGGGCTCTCTCCGCCCTTGGAGAAGCCCACGTTCTCTCTTGAGCGTGTTACTCTCCACTCTCTCCCACGTTCTCTCCCTCCTTCCCTTCAAAACCTCCCAATAAAATCTGTTTTACTTTAAAAACAAAACAAAACAAAATAGTGTTCCCCGGTGCCGGGGGTTGGGGGAACGCTCTGCGATGGCAGGAAAAGTCCCACACATTTCTCGGGTTTCCTTTATAGGAGTCTGGGGCCTGACTCCTGAGCAAGGCATCTGGGTACCGGAAATATCTTGGTTCAGGAAGAGGAGAAAAAAATACCCGTACAATGGCTTCCCGGAGGACAGCCGACCTCCACACAATCAATCGATGAAATAATCACTTGAAAATAATAATCATCATCTTCAGGGAAATGTCGGGAAAGGGAAGGCTAGCGACGCGTTCCTGGTGGCTGGTTTTCTCTGTGTTTTTGTTAATGGGTTCCAGCAAGGGGTTTTATTAGCGGAAGGCAATAAACCAAGCACGTTCCAGGCAGCCTCAGGCCTTTCCTGCGAAGACCATCGTCGCCTCTTTGCGGAGACGCGTCCTGAGGGCTGGGGTCTGGCTCTCGTCTCTGCAGCCCGGGATGGGCAATGCTGGGTCCTCTCCCCACTTTTTCAAGCAGCCCCGGGTCCCCAGCCCCCACGGGGGGGGGGGGATGCAAAAATGCAACCCAAGAGGCCTGGTGCCCCTCCCTGAGCTTGCCCTGGCATCCGCATGGCTCCAGCCAGAGCAGGGAAGGCCAGGGAGGCGCTCAAACCCCCTCTCTATGGTCCTTCTCTGTGGGGACAGGGGAGAGCCCGGGGAACTGCGGCTGACATGCGGTTCCCCAGAGAGGACCAACCAGGGCGCCCCTCTGGCCTGCCTGACGGGGAGCTGACGGGGCAGGGAAGGGTAGCGCTGGCGGCGGATCCGTTCTGCCCACGAGGGTAACTGGCATCACTCTCTGTGGTTGGCATCATGTGGGCTCAGATTTGGACACGCAGAACCCAGCCCCACCCACCCACCACCCTGTGGGCCACCACGAGGGTATTCCAGCAGCTCTAAGCACAAGAATTGCAAATCCCGGGCTGGAATGATAGTACAGCGGGGAGGGCCATTTGCTTTGCACGCAGCCGACTCGGGTTCGATTCCCAGCATTCCATATGGTTCCCCAAGCACCACCAGGAGTGATTCCTGAGTGCAGAGCCAGGAGTAACCCCTGTGCATCGCCGGGTGTGACCCAAAAAGTCAAAAAAAAATTGCAAATCACACATCACCCCTTTTTTTCTCTACCATAAGGTCATAGAAACAGTAGTGAGAAGGGCAAGTAATTCAGATGTTGGCACAAACACCTGCACACACAAGACCCCGAGTCTGATCCCTGACAGCATGACTCGACCCGAATCTCGAGTGTCCCCCCAGCCCTCGGCTCCGAGCCCTTCATACCAAGCCTGACACCCTGGGGTCTTGCATGGGTCTGGCCCACGCAGCCAGCACCCCCTCCCGCAAATGCCCAGGAGGCCACCCCTCGAAAACACATTTTAATAAAGCAAAATGGTAATGGCAACCTTTTCTGTTTCGCTTTACAGTGTATAAGGTGATTTCATGGCCAATCATCGCTAGGTCTAAAAATAAATAAATAAATAAGAATAAAGCATGAAATTAAGGAAAAATACCAGGAAGTGACATTTAGCTTTTAACACCCTTTTCTTGTAGGTAAGAGAAGGGTGAGGTGAAAATTTTCTGTATTAGAATTGCAGTCAGGTTCTTAAAGTTCTAAATGTTCCTGGGTATCAATTAAAAAAAAAAAGAAAGAGAAAAGTCAATGCTTTTTAAATTAAAAATGAGCTGTTGTTCCTTAGAACTTGATCAGTTGTAAAATACCTTTTCTATCCTCCCCAATGGGCTGTGCCCCACCACTATTAAATTTTACATCTCCAGCTCAAACGGATTAGACAGAACATCAGGCGGTTGTAAAAAGAAATCATCAGAACAAGAAACAAAATGGGGTGGGGTGGGGGAAGACCATGTTTTGACACCATTTCACAATAAAAAGACAGTGGAACCCTCACATGGGTTTGGAGGTACAGCTTAAGTCCACTCAGGTGACCCCAGGGCCTTTGCACTGGAGCCTGCTAAGGTAGTCTGACAGCCAATGTTTGTTTCAAGGGCCTCTCTCCAACACTGTGCTAGTGGGCCATGTGGGCAGGGTGAGCGCCCAAACCTCCCCATGGCCCTTTGAGGTCACAGTCTCCCCTCCACAGGGGAGATTAACAGCCAGGAGAGTGCCAGTGCTCAAGGGGTGCCACATGGCGACCAAGCTGACCAAAGTCCCCGTAGAGGAGGCTAATGGAGGCAGCTGTGTATTCGGTGGACACGTGGGGGGCACCTGAGCTGCTTAGGGGGCTCAGCAGGCCTGCCCGAGGAATATGTCTCCGTGGGAGCCCTAGCTGTATGGCTGGGTGGCGTCCACGCCCACCACGGCAGGTCACCCTGGCCAGCAGCCCACCAACCCACACGGGACAAACGCTCTTCCTGGGGGGCCCTCCCCGGACTGCAGGCTGGCGTCCCCCTGAGAAACCACAGCCTCTGCAGTCAGGCTCCAGACCTGGCAGATTCAAGTCTGCGCTGGGGAGCAGGGACCAGGGGCTGGGAGCACTCCACAGAGGGCACGAAGGGGGGCACCTGGCGGGGGAGAAGCGCCCCTTCCCTGGGCCCAGTGTGGGAGAAGCTCCCCCTCCCCGGGGCCAGCAGCACCTGCGCCTGGAGGACAAGAGGCCACAGCGGAGGAAGCTGGCTGTTGGGGCAAGCCAGCTGTCCCCTTTGAGTGGACGCAGGGCCGTGAGTCCTCTCTCCCTGCAGGGGGGCGGGGGACACATGGGCGTGCCTGATGAGTTTGGGGTACTCAGAACACCGTTGGAAACGCCCGACTTGGCGTTTTTCTGCCTCACATGGGCACCGTGAGATCTACTCTGCCCTTATTTGGTGAGACTTGGGAATGTAGTTTAATGAAGAAATAATTAAACTAAATGAAAATCAAGACACACCCCCACCCCCTACCCCACACACACACACACACACACACACACACACACACACACAGAGCACCAAGTAAAATGGCATTCATGCCAGGGCTGATTCCACGGTGGGGGTGGAGTGTGTGTGTGGGGGGGTGATGGACCACGTCCTCCTTCACCCTCCCCCCCAAGTCTGATGTCACACACCAGAGCACACCCGGAGCCCTGAGTTGCAGGAGAGATTCTTCCAGATTCAGGTCAAAATTCACCCTCTGAACTCCACGGAGGACCCATGTGTGTGTGTGTGTGTGTATGTGTGTGTGTGTGTGTGTGTGTGTGTATGTGTGTGTCCCCTCCTCCCCTCCCGGATGCTGGTCCTGGGGTGGTCGTGGCGGGGGGCTGTCGGTTAAGGGCGGGCCACCTCCTGGCCTTCCTCGATGGCCAGAGGACTTTCCCGGCGTCACTGGGGCCCCAGAGAGCGCCGACGGAAGCGGAAGGCACGAGGAGGTACTCACAGGCTCTCCCTGAGGTGCCGGAGCGGGTCCATGAGGCGCAGGGTGTCTCTGATCACGGCCACTTTCACCTCCTCATCCACAAGGCTGGGGACGTTTTCAAAGACCCCTGGAGAAAGCTTGGAGGGGGCGAGGTTTCCTTGTTAGGGCCGGGTGGGATGCTGTCGGTTAGGGGCTGGCCACGCCCTCACCCCAGCAACCGTCCTTAGATGGTTAGAGTTTGCTTCTTGTAAAGAGGGGTTTCAATTATTTATTTTGCTGGTTTGGGAACCACACCCAGCGGTGCTCAGAGCCACTTGTGGCAGGGCTCAGGGGACCATGTGTGGACCCTGGAATCAAATCTGGGTCTGCTGTGTGCCGGGCAAGTGTCTTAAACCCTGCACTGTCTCTCCAGCCGCTAAGCAAAGAGACCGCCGTATGCCCTGAGCACTGCCAAGTGTGGCCCCCCCAAACCCCAAAAAACAAAATTTTAAAAGATTTTTACATATAAAATACTTTTTAAAAAAATTTATTTATTTTCTTTTTTGGGTCATACCCAGCGACACATAGGGTTCACTCCTGGCTCTGCACTCAGGAATTACTCCTGGCGGTGCTTGGGGGACCATATGGGATGCTGAGAATCAAAGATGGGTTGGCTGTGAGCAAGGCAAGGCAAACGCCTTACCCGCTGTGCCATCACTCCAGCCCCTACAAAATACACTTTATTTTATTTTTTTTTATAAAAGTAACCAGCTTTATTAAATTTAACATTTAGATCACAGATAATTTGTTGACTGCAGGAAGTAGACTTTCATCAGTCAAAATACACTTTAAAAGGAAGGACAATACCAGCCTTCTGATGACTCAAATCGACTCAATTTTTTTTGTTGTTGTTTGTTCTCCTAAGCCTTGAAAGAGCCTTGAATATGGCACTTTTTAAATATCTCAGGGCTAGGACGAAGGAGACGTTACTGGGGCCTGCTCGAGGCGATAGACGAACAACAGGATGGTCGTGATTGTGATCGTGGTCGTTTGTTTGGGGCTTTTCACCCAGAGATGCTCAGGGGTTACTCCTGGCTCTGTGCTCGGGAACTGCTCCTGGCAGTGCTCGGGGGACCATCTGGGAGGCCAGGGATTGAACCCAGACTGGCAGGACCAACACCCTACCCGCTGTGCTATCCCTCTGGCCCCAGTGATGATTCCGATCATACCTGCTTATTGTGGACACCGTGGGACTAGGGGAAGGAGATGAAGAAAATTAAGTCTAGGGACCGGAGTGAGAGCACTGCAGGGAGGGCATTTGGCCTGCACGTGGCCAAGCTGGGTTCGATCCCCAGCATCCCATAAAGCCCCCCGAGCATCACCGGGAGTGATCCCCGAGTGGAAGGAGTAACCCCCAAACATTGCTGGGTGTGGTGCCCCCCCCAAAAAAAAGAAAAAAGAAAGAAAAAGAAATCGACATCCTCCTCCCACCCAAACCCCACAGGAACACTTGGTGTATTTCCCTTCCAGGTCCCAATGGTACATTTTTTAAAAAAAGGACGTGGAGGGGGCGGTGGGCGGAGAGGAGCAGCTCCCAGTTAACCACCGTACTATTTGTCTTCGTGATTCCAGCCTGCCGTGGCAAAATCATATTCATAGAATTTCAATGAGCCCGTCTCCCGAGGCCGCCTAATTAGCGCACGTCAGGGCTGACGGACCGGCCGGGCCGAGCTGGGTCTGCAGGCTCAGCCCCGGAGAGAGGCGCGCCTGGAAACCGGGAGGCCCGACGCCCAGACTCGGAGCCTGAGTGTGAGGTGAGGTGGTCAGGCAGAGCGGGGGCTGGGCTGCAGTGCTCCACCTGCCTGCCAGTGGGGGCTCCCCCCACCCACACACACACAGCCGAGGGCATTCCCCCCACCTCCAACCCCGGCCGAGCCCCACCGCTCACCTCCTGCTCGTGCTCGATCCTCATGCTGGGGTTGGCGTTCACCTCCAGCAGGATGGGCTTCAGGTTCTTCGTGAGGAGGATGTCGAAACCCAGAATCTGCGGGGACACTGGGGATTACTCCCGCGCAGCCATGCTTCCTTTTTCTCTTTTATTCTTTTTTTTGGGGGGGGAACAAGGGGGAGGTCACACTGGGTGGTGCTCAGGGGTTCCTCCGGGCTCTGCACTCAGGAATTACCCCTGGCAGTGCTCTGGGGATCCTGTGGGATGTCGAGGATTGAACCCGGGTAGGTTGTGTGCAAGGCAAACACCTTCCCCGTTGTGCTATCGCTCCGACCCCCACAGTTCCTTCCTCTCTCTCTCTCTCTGTCCCTCTCTCTGCCTCTCTATGTCTCTGTGTCTATCTCTCTCTGTCTGTCTCTATCTCTGTCTCAGTTTGTCTCTCTGTCTCTGTCTTTCTCTGTCTCTCTCTTGTCTCTCTCTGTCTGTCTCTCTCTTGTCTCATTATCTCTCTCTGTCTTTCTCTGTCTCTCTTGTCTCTCTGTCTGTCTCTCTCTTGTCTCTCTCTCTCTCTGTCCCTCTCTCTGCCTCTCTATGTCTCTGTGTCTATCTCTCTCTGTCTGTCTCTATCTCTGTCTCAGTCTGTCTCTGTCTCTGTCTTTCTCTATCTCTCTCTTGTCTCTCTCTGTCTCTGTCTCTCTCTTGTCTATCTCTCTGTCTTTCTGTCTCTCTTGTCTCTGTCTCTCTCTTGTCTCTCTATCTCTCTGTCTCTTTCTCTGTCTCTCTCTTGTCTATCTCTGTCTCTCTGTCTCTCTCTTGTCTCTCTATCTCTCTGTCTCTGTTTATGTCTCTATGTCTCTGTCTCTCTGTCTGTCTCTGTCTCTCTGTCTCTATCCCTCTGTTTGTCTCTGTCTCTCTGTCTCTGTCTCTCTCTGTCTCTGTCTCCCTCTGTGTCTCTCTCTCTCTCTCTGTCTCTCACAATGAGAAACACGTGCCCCCCAACCTGGGCCTGGGCTTTGTCTTCTCCTGGCCCCGACCTTCAGCCTCAGGTGGTGCCCTGCCAGGTCACAGGGACAGCAGGAAATGTCCCTGAGCCCGGCTGAAGGACTGAGCTCCCCCCGGGCCTTTCGGGACACTGAGCTGTGGTCACAGGACAATCCCTGCCTTATGTCAAAGGTGCTGGAGAAGGGCAAGGTGCCCAAGGCCCATTCATCCCCCCTTCTGCTCCCTGAAGACCCCTGAAGACCCACGGCTGCTGTCCCCCAGCCGGGGCTGCAGCCCCCCTCCCTAAAGGCTTCTCCCCCCGAACCTCCCAGTAAGGTGCTTGGGGAACTTCTGGGCACGCCAGGGCCCCCAAGGGATGCCAAGCCATCAGCCGAGGAGACAGGCATCTTCCTCAGGCACCACCAGGCTCTCTGACTGGCCGGCGCTCCCTCCCCTCAACGGGTTGCCTCGAGGCCGGGCCGCACTGTCCGGCTGCGGGAGGCAGACACCGGGCCCCCAAGAGGCCGGCGGGTCTGTCCAAGACGGGCTCCCTCAGGGTGAGCACGTGGGAACCCTTGTGCAAAGAATTTGAGGAGGCGGCAGGGGGGGCGTGATGGCCTCCCTTCGTGCAGGACTGGGGGACTGGCTACCCCCCAGCAGGCCAGCCTGTGCCCAGCCCCTCTTGTCAGAGGCCTGCCGGGAGGCCATGGGAGGCTGCGTCTGCCTCCCGCGGGCCCAGACGCCCCCTGGCCCCAACCTCGCTGGGGCGTGAACGCTTCCCCCTCGCCACCCTCTTCCCCCAAGAAACTGCTGATACCCCTCAGGTGTATCAAACAGGCACACGAACAAACGTCTGCCAGGAGCAAAGCATAACCCAGCTTTCTGGAGGGGGGTGGTGTAGCTTGGGGGTGACTCCTGACTCTGTGCTCAGGGAGCACTCCTGGCAGAGCTTGGGGGACCACGTGCCGTGCCAAGGATCGAACCGGGGTCGGCCGTGTGCCAGGGCAGGCACCTGATTGGCTGTACTTTCTCTCTCCAGCCCCTGGAAGGCAAAATAGTCACGCTTCCTACACTCGGCGGCCGCCTGGTCCGGAGCTGTTCCCCGAGGCGGGGTGGACCCCGGCAAACAGTCACGCTCTGGCTCAGCCCATCCAAACTCCGATTCTGACCCCCAGTTCAACCCCACCCCAGGTTCCAGCCTGCCCAGCCCCAGGCAGCCCGTCCCCCACAGGACAAGGCTCTGACCCCATCCGCATGCTCACACTGAGCCATGGCTTATGGCTTGGATGTCCGCAGCCACTGTCCAGCAGAGGTGACCACTGTCCCTGGCATGACCCGGGAGGCTCCTCCCGGCCCTCACGCCTGTCTCTGCACCCCAACCCCGTCCTGGGGCTCTTCCCGGCCCTCATGGCCACTCCGGCCTCGCCTCCTGGTCCTTCTGGGCCCGTGGCTACCTCACCGCTGGGCTGAGAACAGGTGACGCTCTGGTCACCTCCGGCCCAGCCTGCCCCTGTCCCTGCAGCTCCCCGCAGTCTCTCTGCTCTTGGCCATGCAGATCCAGGGCTGGGGTCCCCTGCGGACACCCCCACCGCACAGTGCCCACTGCCCAGCTGTCCATGGCTTGGCCCCTTTGACCTTCTCCCTTCGATTCTGCAAACGCAGCCTCTACCTGCAAGCTCTCTGGTTTTCAATAGCGGCGCCATCCCAGAGACATTCAACCAACCTGGCCGGAGGTGGGGGCCGGCCCTGGGGTGCCGCTGACCCCCTCCCCCCACCCTGGACCCAATACCCCCATAGACCCGGGGATCCCCCGGGCCACAACGGTGGTGCTCAGGAAACCGTGAAAAACCGGGGGCTGTGCTGGAGACCTGGGTAGCCTTGTGCCCTGACCCCCGGGCCTGGTCTCGGGGCCACTCATTGCTTTTCAGGTCAGTTGCCCCGACCGTAGGGGTGGAGTGATAGCAAAGCAGTGGGGCGTTTGCCTTGCATGTGGCCTGCCTTGCCGAGCCAGGTTCGATTCCTCCACCCCTCTCAGAGAGCCCAGCAAGCTACCAAGAGTATCTCACCTGCGCGGCAAAGACTGGCAAGCTACCCGTGACCTAGTCAATATGCCAAACACAGTAACAAGAAGTCTCATGATGGAGACATTACTGGGCCTACTCGAGCAAATCGATGAACAATGGGAGGACAGTGCTACAGTGCTACCCGGCCGGGGCGTCTTGAGGGAGAGCCTGGGGACAGTACCGGGCTGCTTTCCCACGCAGGGGGTGAACGCTGCCCCAAGAAATGTGTCTACCAGGGGCCGGAGCGATAGCACAGTGGGGAGGGCATTTGCCTTGCACGCGGCCGACCCGGGTTTAATTCCCAGCATCCCATAGGGTCCTCCGAGCACTGCCAGGAGTAATTCCTGAGTGCAGAGCCAGGAATAACCTCTGAACATCGCTGGATATGACCCAAAAACAGAAAAAAGAAAGGAAGTAAGGAAGGAAGGAAGGAAGGAAGGAAGGAAGGAAGGAGGAAAGAAAGAAAGAAAGAAAGAAAGAAAGAAAGAAAGAAAGAAAGAAAGAAAGAAAGAAGAAACCTTGGATCTCCCAGAGTCCTTCCCGGGTGTGGCCAAACCAGCCTCACTAAGGGAGCAAAAAGCCAGGCAGCAGGGGGGCCCCGAATCCCACAAGGCGCTTCCCATGGCCCCCCTCGCCCCACGCCCCCCACCCCCGGGGGCCGGGCCAGGCACCTGGAAGCACGTGGGCCCGGGCTTGCCCGCGGGGATGTCCGACTGGTAGAAGACCTTGAGCTCGGGCGTCAGGGCGATGACCGTCTTGATGACCAGTGAGATGATGTCGGACCAGACCTTCTTGATGTCCACGCCCTTGGCCGAGAGCCGGCACAGCACGCTGGAGAAGGTGCGCTTGCTGCCTGTGCCGGCGCTGTCCGAGTGCACGAAGTTGCCGCTGTGGATGTTGAGCGAGTAGTTGGTGAGGTGCATGAAGATGTGGTGCAGGTTGTGGGCGCTGGGCTCCTGGTAGGGCTCCGTGCAGAAGCGCGACAGCCCGTCCTTGGCGATGTAGATCTCCAGCGGGTCCAGGGACTTGAGCAGGACGTACAGGCGGATGTCGAACTTGAGCCTGTCGATGAGCAGGGGCTTGCAGATGTACTCCTGCACCACGGCCGGCCGGCTCCGCAGGATCCCCGCCAGGCGGGCGTCGGTGGGGTCTCGGATGAGGTAGATCCCGTCCCCCTGGCACCCTCCGTCCGGCTTCACGATGAATGTGGGCTTCCAGGAGGGGTCGCCGTCCTTCACTGTGCGGACCTGGGGTGGGGGTGGGGGAAGGATGAGCGCCTGGTCCGGGCCTCTCGGGCTCATGACAGACGGAGCAGGGGCTTGGCAGGGGGTTCGGAATGATGGGTGCCCGTCCCCGGGTGAGTCCCGGCTGCAGGCGGTGGGAAGGAGGTGCCACACCAGGCACAGAAATAGTAGCCAGGACTGTGGCCAGGACTTGGCCAAGACTGTGGCCAAGACCGTGGCCAAGACCGGCCGAGACTGTGGCCAATACTGTGGCCAAGACCATGGCTGAGACTGTGGCTGAGATTATGGCCAACACTGCGGCCGAGGTCGTGGCCGAGACTGTGGCGGAGACTGTGGCCAAGACCCTGGCCAAGACTGTGACGAGGCAATGACCAGGACGCCCCTCCAGTCTGTTCTCCAGCAGACACAAGCCCAAGCCTGCCCAGCCTTTGCCGCCCAGCAGCTCGGCCAGTCCTGCACCAAATGAGGGTGAATACCCATCTGGAAGGGTCCAGGCACCTACAGAGAAGAACAGAGAGGCCCTGGCCTGCCTGACCCCTGGGCCCAGGATGGGAGGGAGGCCTCCTGCAGGGGCCGCACCAGGGCCTCCCCAGAGCACGGCCGCTGCCATCTTCCCATCGGCTGGCCCAGAGCGGCACCAGGCCTGGGGTCCAGATCCAGGCTCTCCCAAGTGCCCACAGCCCCCTCGAGGCTGCCATGGCTCGGTTGCCTCAGCTGAGCAGAATCAAAACAGGGGGCTGGAACAATAGCACGGTGGGGAGGGTGTGCGTTTGCCTCGCACGCAGCCGACCCCGGTTCCATCCTCAGCATCCGGTATGGTCCCCTGAACCCACCAGCAGTGATCCCTGAGCACAAAGCCGGGAGTAACCCCTGAGCATAGACAGGTATCCCCCCCCAAAAAAAAAACAGAATAAAAAGGGGATTTTTAAGAGGAGACTCTTGCCCGGGGGGGCTGAGTGACAGAACTGGCCTTATACTTGGTCAATCTGGGTTGGATCCCCAGCACCCCCTATAAGGTCCCCCGAACCTGCCAGGAGTGAGCCCTGAGCACCGCCAGGTAAGGCACACACACGCACACACATACACATACACATACATACACACATATGCACACACATAGACACATACACACACATACATACACACATAAATGCACACACATATGCATACACACACACACAAATTTAGAAAAAGAAGTGACCCTTTCAGCATTCACTGTCCTCTGGGAGCATATCTGCTCTTCTCAAGCACCTCGGATGCCCCGTCCATGGGGGTCCCCCTGGAAGGACATTCTGACCTGCACGGGACTTAGTTTCTTACCACCAGGAAATTAGCCTAAAGCCCAGGGTGGACAATTGGTCAGCCATGACAGCCCCCCTCAACTCCCCGCCACCAACGTTGCCACCCCAAACCCTCAACCCCCTTTCCCAGGGCGGCCTTCCCTGATCTCTCTCACCAGCCTCTATTTCTCAGTGAAGCTTCCGCCAATTCCTTGGGCACTATCAGTCACTCCGGGCTTGTAAAAGATCTTTAACAACAGAGAAACACTTAGAGCCTTAATAATGGCCCCCATCAATTGCTCCCCTTGTCAGCCAGAGTCCAGGAAGGCGGCTTTGGCCAGAGACCGACGACGCCAGCCTCCCTCCCGAGCCCTTCAGCGGGCGTGATGGGGCAGCGCTTCTGTTCTTTAATATTCACCAGGCACTTGTACACCTGGACCCTGACAGTACATGCTAAGCGCCGCGGATGGGGGGCAGGGGGGCCTGTGGGTGGCTCTGGGTCAGGAAGTGGCCGTTGTCAGCTTTGCCCTGGTGGGTGACCCTCCCCTCTGGAGGCCTCTGTGATGCTGGGTCTCGGGGAGCCGGTGCTGCTTCTCTGAATGCAGCATGGATGCCCCCAGATAAATTACAGGGCCCGGTCAATAGGCCTGTCATTCGCTCACTGCACCGCCGAAGGTGTCTCGGCTCTCAGCAGGCTCAGCACCCCAACAATCACAATCACTCAGACCCATGGAGTCACGTGCCATCTGGGGGGTGGCGAGGGAATCCCGCCAGTGGCAGCATCCGGTTCTCTTGAAACTCAGACAAGGGGTTAGTGAGGCCAACACGGGTGACATGAGCCTCCTGGGGTCCCCTACGGGGCTGGCTCTGGGGAAACTGAGGCCTCAGACACCCGCTCTCGTGAGATGGGAGATTCTTCTGCTGAGCCCTGAGGGAAGCGGCCCCTCAGAGGGCAGAGAGAACTGGGGTCCAGCACTGGACACCCACAGAGGAACGTGGACCCCGGGTGACCTTCACCCTCGGAACCGGCAACTCCTGAGTGAGCCTGGACCACCCCAGTTCTGTGGCGGTCCATGTTCCCGGCTGGCTGGCGTCCAGGGCCCACCAGCCCTTCATGGGCTTCTACTGGAGAGAAAAAAGGACCTTCCCGATTTCATGCTGGCTCTGCTCTGAGTCTCACTCCCCCCCACTCCCCACTAATTAGAGTGATTAAAGTGAAGGCTGGGCTCTCGGCAGGGGACTGACCATGGGCAGAGAGTTAAGTGCGATGTGTATGACTCTACCCGGGTCCCAGCCATGCTAAGACCCGATTCATCCGGAGGAGTCCTGAGAGTGTGTGCACTGGAGGCCCACGACATCCAGGGGCTTCTGACGCGCACAGAAAGAAACGTGTGCACCTGGGACAAAGCCCTTGGACAGTACCCCGGGTGCTGGGGGCAGAGCTATTGCTGATGGCATCTCCCGTGCCACCCAGCCCTGCTGGGTGTGAAATCCTTCAGCTCCTAAGCGACGGGCAATGGTGCCGCTGGGAAAACCTCATGGTGCCGTTGGGAAAAATTGATGTGGCTTTTACTGCCGCCTAGTGGTCACTTCAGAAATGTGATTAGAAAAGATTCTGCTGTTCCCCCTCCTCCCATCCCCCCGCCCCCCCACACACACACACAAAAAAACACCTCATACTTCCCAGGAAGCAGCACTAAGACCTGGAAAGGGTCTGAGAAACACCCCAGTGGAAAGGGTCCCCTCCCTGGGAATGTCACGGTGCCGAGCTTAGGGTGTCCTCGGCTCTGAGACGCCGGGGGCCGGCCAAGGCCGTCAGCGCCTGGTTCTCCCAACCCAGTTCTGGTGTCCCGGCTGCAGGGAGGTCTACTGTTAAAATTGTCAGAACCCGAGCCACAGCACGGCGGGAAGGGCGCTCGCTCTGCTCTGCACACGGCCGACCTGGGTTCGATCCCCGACCTGGCATCCCATAGGGTCCCCCCCAAGCACCACCAGGAGTGATCCCTGAGCATCTCCAGGTGTGACTCAAAACCTGAACCCAAACAAAGCCCTCTTTCGGTCTATGTAAAACATTTCAACTAACCACAAGAACCAAACTTAAAAATTGTGCCCGTGTTTGAGGCGGATGAGGCCTGCGTGTAGGAAGGAACCTGAGACACTGGTGGAGGAAAGCTGATCGCTGAGTTTATACCTTAAACTCAACTATGAATGATTTTGTAAATCATGGGTCTTAGTAAAAAAAAAAAGAGAGAGAGAAATGAAATAAAGCAAAAAAATAAATAAAATACTCCAAATGATGGACAATGTGAACATAAAATCCTAGTTACATATGCCATCAAAAACATACGTGATTTTCATACTGCCTGCTGTGTTTTTTTAAATATATATAAAGATTTTCATATGGAAGCGCTTTTGGAGAACAGATACCTGTACATCCCTACAGAAAAACAAAATGCCATATGCACATACTTGGGAATACTTTACTTGGGCATGAAAAGGAAAGAAATTTTGATGTATGGGTCCACCTTAAAAACTTATACAGGGTGAAAAAAATTATACTGGGTGAAACTGGCCATATTCCACTGCTCAGAAGTACCTCTTGGGCCCCATTCATAGAGTCAGAAAGAGGGCGAGAGGGTCTGGAGCGATAGCACAGAGGGGAGGGTGTTTGCCTTGCAAGAGGCCGACCCGGGTTCGATTCCCAGCATCCCATATGGTCCCCTGAGCACCGCCAGGGGGAATTCCTGAGTGCAGAGCCAGGAGGAACCCCTGAGCATCGTCAGATGTGACCCCCTCAAAAAAAAGAAAAGAAAAGAAAAGAAAGAAAGAGGGGGGGGCTTGAGCGATAGCAGAGCAGGCAGGGCTTTTGCCTAGCATGCGGCTGATCCGGGTTCAATTCCCAGCATCCCATATAGTCCCCCGAGCACCGCCAGGAGTAATTCCTGCGTGAAGGGCCAGGAGTAACCCCTGTGCATCGCCGGGTGTGACCCAAAAAGCAAAAAAAAAGGAAAAGAAAGAAAGAAAGAAAGAAAGAGGGTGAGGAGGTGCAGGTGGGGGACATAGAGTTTTGATGTTCCATCTGGGGAGAAGACAGGGGCTCTGGAGATAGAGGGGGCAGAGTCCAAGCCCCTGGACAGGACCCCGGAAGCAGTTCCCTCAGTGAATTCCATGCTACACTCAGTTACACTTTAAAATGCAAGTTCTGGAGGCCAGAGCGATAGCACAGCAGGTAGGGCACTTGCCTTGCAGTGAGCCGAGCCAACTTCCATCCCCAGCATCCCATATGGACCCCAAGCACCACTAGGAGTGCTCCCTGAGTGCAGAGCCAGGAGTGAGCCCTGAGCAGCGCCGGATGTGGCCCCCAAACCAAGTTAAATAATTAAAAAAACTGAATGGAAGTTTTTAAATGTAATGGAAGGAAGGAAGGAAGGAAGGAAGGAAGGAAGGAAGGAAGGAAGGAAGATTAGGAGGGAAATCGAGGAAGGGAGAGAAAAAAAGTAGAGCGAGAGAAATCACCTCTGGCAAATTAGAAAAATTGCTGAAGTAAGACAGAAAATCTGGCTCCAAGTCCCGGTCCAGCTGGGCAGTACTGACCTGGACAAGGGCCCAAACCCCTGTGTCACGTCAACTATGCCTTAAAGGGTCACACCAAGGCCCTAGCTCCTGCCCACAGTGGCTCTCCTATCTCACCGTCGCTGAGGGCTCACACACACCCATACACAC